TACACAATTGATCTATGTATTGTGATGAATTGTATGAGCCCCAATAAATTGATTAAAAAAAAAAAGAATGATGAAGTCAACATATGTACTAAAGTGCTGTACACCCCTCCATTCTCACAAAGTTTCTATTCTGTTGGTCCCTATGATTGTAATTTCATCTCCTAGTTTTTCCTGACCAATTCCTTTTCTATACAAACTGGTACTAGATGGGTAAACAGGCAACAACCGCCCCTTCCCTCGAATGCAACAACAAAGAACACTTTAGCTCTGGCCCTTATGTTATCTGCAGTGGTAGAGCTCATTATGCTAAGAAGTTTGTATCCCAAGAAGTATATAAAAGAATTGTGTCTTGCTTGACTATTGAACACAATCAATGTTCATGAATGCATCAGTCAAGAGATCAAAAGACTTATTGCATTGGGTGAATCTGCTGCACAAGACTTCTTAAAGAGTATTGAAAATCAAGGATGTTACTTTCCCGACTAAGGTATACCTGAGAGGTATTACACAAAAGTAAATGCACTCTTAGTCGAGTTTTCTAAAAGTGAAAAATCATTGAGCTGTATGTATATATGAATATATAGAGAGATTTACTTTAGGAAATAGGTTATACAATGGTGGAGGCTGGCAAATTCCAAATCCTTAAGTAGTCAGCAGGCTGTAGAGCTCTAATGGTTCATGCAATTTCAAGAGATAATGAATCCAAAATCTACAGGCCAGGTGGCAGGCCAGGCAGGCACTTCAATAGACTTACAGCACACAACCTAGAGGACAGGTGAGAAAAGTATGGGTTTGAGAGAGAGGATCTGCTAGAATATCAATTTATAATGTGGAGACAGAACACATCCCTTTCAAAGAGCTGACAACATTACGGAAAATGATTGTATTATCTTACTTTATCTTACCTTCCATTACAAAACAGCAACTAGTACAGTATCTGGCCAAACAGTGAGCATCATAGCCTAGCTAAGTTGACCCATAAAATTAGCTAACATTCATCATAAACAAAGTTTAAAGATAATTGAGAGTTCAGGAAAAGAATTTTCAACACATATATTTGACAAAGGTTTGATCATGTCACTATATGAAGAACCCTCGCAAAATCAAAATGAAGATGTGATCATCCAACAGAAAATGAGCAAAAGTCACAAACAGGAAAAAATATGGTGTGGTTGCTAGAAGTCATCAAATTGACTGCGACACATCCCAGCCCGATGAACAACAAAACCAAACAATGTCTGGTTCCACCCCCTCATCCTATTTGTTGTGCTTGAGCCCATTGTTGTAGCTTCAATGTCAATATATCTCCCGGAGGGGCTTCTCCTCTTTAATCGACCTTCTGCCTTATCCGGCATGACATCTTTTTCCAGGGACTGGCTTCTCCTGGAGAATCCTGGTTGTCTTAGTTGTTACAAATTGGGCTGCAATCAACAA